GATTAGAAAAGATGCATCTATAAAATTTATGAGTAAAATAAATCCTATTCAGAAATTATAAATTATAAATTATAGATGCATGTTCTATAAATTATAAATTATGAATTATAAATTATAAATGCATGTTCTATAAAGACTAACATTTCTAGCAAAACTGGTTCTGTAATTTTAGTTATGAAGATTTGGAAAAAAAGATGAAATATGTACACATTTTCCATTTTTTTGAAATAAAATAATTTTTTCATTCTTCATTTGTAGTGTAAAACAAGATCTGAGTAAAAGTCACTTGATACGTATTCTGCAAGCACTCCCATGTAGAAATTAAAAAAAAAAAACAAAAACAAGACTGGCATTTATTTTGCTTGTATAAAAGGCCGGGCCAAGAGTTCTAATTTGGGGTAGGATGGACAAATTCATGGCAGACTAATGTTCCCATCAAGGCCAACTAGAAAAGTCAGATAAAGTATAATTTTTAGTATCTTTAAGAGCAGCGAGAGCAACAGAACTGTAAGGACTACAAAGTAAAATTCTAAGGAGAGGAAAAATTTTAGATGATGAAATCAGAACTTTCAGCTGTCCCTGTGGACATCTCCTGAGACTGGGCAATGGCTAGAAGCTGAGAATCTGGGCTCAGACTTGCCTGTGAATTACCTCTGTGGTGCAGAGCACACAGCAGTCATTGCATCAGGCTTTGAGTGACAGGTTGAGAGATGTGAAAGTTCTCAAACAGATGGGCAATTTCCCCTTTAATACATTTCATGAACTTCAAATCTGTATAGGATTGGAGACTGAAGGACTGAACGCTAACCTCGGAAAATCTAGTTAAAATTTTCCACAACTTCATGTCCCTTTCTTAAAAAATTAATCTGTTGGTCATTTACATATTTATAGAAATTTCCGGTACATTTTTACACCTCCATATGTGCATGAGCATCATTCTTCCTCCACCAGTCTCCATTCCCTCTCCCCTTCCTGCCCACACTCCTGTTTACCAATATATTTTTCACAGAACCCAGATTTATTTTTACTGTGCTTTACCAGTGTGTGTTGTTTGGTTTTTTTATATTCCACTAATAAGTGAAACCATCCAGCACCTAGATTTAATTTTATGATTTATTTCACTTAGCTTAATCACCTTAAGATATATCCATTTTGTCCCCAAAAGCCCTATTCATCTTTTTTAATCACTGAGCAGAATTCCACTGAGCATACATTACACAATTTCTTTATCCAGTTATCTCTTGATGGGCGCTGAGTTTGGCTCTATGATTTGGCTAGAGTGGACAGTGGGTACATACATCTTTTCATATTAGAGTTTTCATGTTCTTTGGGTAAATACTAATGGCTGTATTTCTGGGATCATTTTTATTTTTGTGGGGGTGTCTCCCTTTCCATATAGTTTGCACCAAATAGAAAAATCATTTCTGTATTTTTCTAAATATGGATCAACTTCTCATTGTATACTGGTAAAGAAGACAAACTTGTTGAATGCATACAATGTAATCTAGTTATATAAAATTCAAAGCTGAGAAAAAGTAATCAATATTGTTAGAAGTTCGAACTCTGATTGCCATTTATCTTAGTTGGCTTGGGCTGCCATAAACTATTATAACAAATTGGATGTCTTAAACAACAGAAATGTGTTCTTTTATGGAGGCTGAGAAGTTCAAGTTTTCAGCAAGGTAGTTCATTCTGAAGTGTGGTATCCTAGCTTGTAGGTGGCCTCCATCTTATTGTGTGTTTGCTTGACCTCTTCATTTTGCATGTGTGGGGAGGAGCAAAGTCTCCTATAAGAGCACTAATACCCTCATGAAGGCCCCACCTTCTTAATCTCATGGAGACCTCCTCTCTTCCCAAAGCCATATCTCCAAATATTATCACATAAGGTGTTTTGTCTTCAACATGGGTATATTCAATCCACAAAATCACTGTACGGAAGAAAATATTGATTAGAGGTGGGGTACAAAAAAAATGCTGGAATGCTGATCAAGTTCTAGTTCTTGCACTGGTTACTGATTACATGGTCGGGAACATTTAGTGAATATATGTATCAACTTATACTCTATAACCTGTACAATTTTTGTATGAAAGTTATGTTTTTGAAAATTGCTTTAGATATATATAATATATATATGAATTTGATGGCTTTTGACATTGCTTTTAGATTTAGGGAACATGTTAAGGTGATCTATATCAACTTACGTCACTTTTCACATTCTATGAATATTTATTTTGCATTCTCAAAAAGTTATCCATTTATTTTCAAATATGAAGACTTATTTTGAAAATAATTTATGAAAATTCAACGCAAGCAATACATTTATTTATAGATTACAATTTAACATTTTTAAAAAGGGCTTAAAAGGAACTTAACTTCTAGGTGCCCTTTCTGCAAAATACTGACTCATTCTTTTTCATACCTTGAATTTCCACCATGTTGTTTATATAATCATGGGGAAAGGAACCCTGGGGCCAGGTGAACTGGGCTCGAGTTCTATTATTTCTCTGGTACAGCTTTTCTGTGATATTATAAGTAGCTCTTATTACTTTTTTAATGGGTGTCATAGCTATTATAAATTGCCCTTGATCAGTTCTCATGGATATATACAAGAAAAATTGAGGGAATATAATCTAGTGATTTTTTTTAGACTGAAATCCCCCTAAAAATCTATTATTACTTTTTTTTCTTAGTAGTGTGAACCAAGAGGCATAGATAGAGACTAAACCTTCATCTCTGGAAGCTCTGGCTAGGTCTGGAGCTGTAGAATTTGTTCCATTTTATGGAGACTGATTTATGCAGCATCAGAACACTGTTGTCCCATTTTTCAAACTGTAATTTATAGTCTTTATAACAAAGGTTGCTAAATAATTCTCCCTGCTTGGAATTAAAATATAATGTAACAAGAGAGGCAATTTTCTCTTTTCTTAATGACTATGACCCATGAATTTAAAATAGCTTGGTCTATTAATCACTAATCAGAATTTTCAGATAGCAAGTAAATGTTTATCATGGTATAATGACTGCGTAATTGTGCAGATTCTCAGCATCCTTTGAGTGAATATAAAATAATAAAATGTCTTGCTTAGTTTACTTATTAATGCTTTAGTTTCCTGCTTTGTCTCTTAAATTACTCCATGATGGCCCAGCATATTTTGTTTACATCTCTCAAGTCAATTCTCTTCTTGATAACTGCCCACTATCCACCTCATCATTTATCCACAATAGTGACTAAAACTTCCAAATTGGCCCTAAATTTCTTTCTTCTGCCCTTTCTACTCTATCCATATCTCCAGGTCTATCTTTGTGAAATGAAAATCTTTCAGTTAAAATCCTTCCACACCTCCTCATTACTCTCAGGGCAAAATTCAAAGTCTGACTTGGAATATAAGACCCTGCATCACTTGGCCTTTTCAGTTATGTAGCTGAATGACCTTGGCCTATCCATCCTAATCTCTGCATCTTGCTACATGCAGAGATTTAAAAAACTGAAATAATGAAGTCCCTACCTCCTAGGTAAGTGAGGATTAAAAGTGATAAGGCATTTAACACACTTCCTTTAGTGCCCAGTCTGGGGTAAGTGAAAAAGACTCTGGCTGGGTTTTTATTGATGTTCTTATTTGTTACCACTTCCATCAGCCACTCTCTGCTGTCTCTGTGAATCTTAGTGGTTGTCACATTGAAAATGCTCCTTTCATTCTCATATACCACCTTCCAATAGACTATTTACCTGGTACATTTCTGAAGCCAACTTTAATGTGTTTTTTTTTTTTCTTTAATACACCAAGCAACTAACTCAATTCTCTGAGGACAGCGACTGAGTGTCCTTTAAATTTTTACCCAATTTTGACATTATCAATCTGGAGATAGTGTCCAATTCCAAGGCTTAAGGGCTCAGTCTCACTGGGCTTCTGCTTCAGATGCTAATTGTAAGTGCAGGTTGTTGCCTGGGCTTCTAACTGGCTATAAATCAGATTTCCCAACGTCTCCCCCTTTGGTTTGATTAATTTGCAGGGATGACTCACAGATCTCTGGAGAACAGTTTGCTCACTGATTACCAGTTTATTAAAAAGGACATTAAAGGCAACAGCCAGATGAGTGTGGTGGGCTAATATCGGGGTGAGGCCTGAGGCTCAGGCGTGAAAAAATTCAGCAGAGACAGAATAGAGCATGGAAAAGACAGATTTATTGAAATATGCTGCAAGAGAGCAGGGTACAAGACAGAGGATGTTTGCATATGAAGAAGAATTTGGGGCTCCCTCTTCTAACTTATTTTCACAGGGTTTTTCATGATGAGGGGAGTTTGTCCCCGCCAGGTGCTATCTGCTGGGACATCAGGTTTCAGTGGGCCTTCCACACAGGAGGTGCCCTTCTTGGTTCTGTTTGTCCTGTTCCCACATTCCTGGTAATTCTCAAAAGCCCCTTATTGGTCATGTGGACCTGTGGCAACTCCGTTCCCTTGATAACTCCGTGGGTTTCTCTTACCTATTTTGTGTCTCCCAGCATTGCTCAGCTGTGAAAGTGCAGAAACTAAGTTTTAATTCTATCAAAGTTTTAACTCTATTAAATGATACCCCAACAATGAGGACAGACACAGTACAGAGTCTGAGAGGGTCCTGGACAAAGGAGCTTCTTTCTTAAGGAATTGGGGTATACCACGCTCCCAGTAAATTGATATGTTCACCAACCTGGAAGCTCTCTGAATCATCCCTTTGGAGTTTTTATGTAGTCTTTAGTCAATGATTGATTAAAACATTCACTATTCTGATTGATTCAGCCCCCCATCTCCCCAGAGGTCAGAGGAGAAAGTTCCATCCCATAAATTACATGGTTGACTCCTCTGGCAACCAGCACGCATACTTGGGGCTTTGCAAAAATCACCATGCTAACAGCTACTTTTATACATGGAATTCCATGCAGAATTCTGGGGGTTTTAGGAGCTCTGGGCCAGGAATGGAAGTAGGCACCAATTAAATGTTTGTTATTATCAATCACATCATACCTGGATAACTCCTTTGCTTTTGACTTGAAGGATTCTCTCTTCCGGCTATAATGTACAAAGGTTCTACTCCATGTGTCTTTCCCTGAGATTCCTTTGTCTTTAATGCACCCATCCTCATGTGCCTGCAGATTCTGCAATGAGACAATCAAAGAATGTTCTTAAAGATGGAGGAATAAAATTTTAATTTAAAAGTCTGTGAAGTTTTTATGGCCTTAATGACTTTGCATGTGCGCATGCACGTATGGGTGTTTCAGCAGTTTATTATTTTTTGTTTGATGTCTCCGTATTTTGCATCCTTTAGGATGTAATATTCCAAAATGTTTAATTTCTCTACAGTTTAACAAAACCCTGCCCTCCTGTTAATACCCTGGGGAACAGACATTGGGGAGCACATCCTAGGGAGGCAGTCAGCATTCTGTTCAAATATAAACACACAGATTGTTATCAGTCTTTTCTTCTCATCAATAGGATCCCTATGAGCTGCCCTCTGCCTGGTAGCTGCAGGGGTCCCTCCCATGGTTTGCAGGTGAATATTTTGAAACAGTCACAGCAGGAGTTGAGATGAATCTGATGCTGTCCCTGTGAAACCCAACAGTGACAAGAAGACGGATATTCAGTGAGGCCCAGAGTGCCTGGTATTTTTAAGTCATTGCTGCAAAGAAAGGCAAGTTTAATTACTGCAGAGGAAGTAAATCAGGAGCATCTTATCGGAAACACAAGCATGCCAGACAGCATGTCTCTGCCACGTGCCAATAGGTTGATTTGTTATAGTTCTGAAGGAACAGACAGCACAGTCTAAGGGCGAAAGGATGGAGGCTCCAATGCTGCATGACCTCTGCCCTTGAGAAACCAGCTGAAAAAATGCTGATGAGGTTTTGGGGAACCTTCCTCAGTACTAGCTGCTCACTTTGCCCTTCTCACCTTCACCCACAACCTAGTTTCATTTTTCTGGAAACTTTAGTGCTCAATATCTTCTAAATATACTCATCATAACTTTGCACTAACTCTAATGTCTAAATGGAATGTTCTATTCCAATATGCATGTTACCTCTGTGGAGTCTACTGGATTTGGTTCTTCCTCTGCTGCATTCTAACTTATGCAGTATTTGTCCATTTAATACATCATGTGGAATTTTGAGGTAGAACAGGAATTTAGCACATTTCAGAAGAAAGCGACTCCAGTCTTATTAGTTTATCTCACACCAGGTACCACTAATTGCAAAACTTCCCCCATCTTATATAACAGGAGGTTAGAGTCAGGTGCTTTTGATAAATGAAATTGGCCAAATCTCTTTTTCCCGAGTAAGTTTCTACCCATGTTGTTGAACAAAACTGCTAAAAATCGTTTTCTCATCTGTAAATTCCTGCCCCTTTTGTTAAGCAAAAGTTGTCAAAACCCACTCAGGATCCCATGTGTGAGCCCCTGACCTCAAATTGAGCAGGTATTTATATCAGCAGCCCTAATACCCCTGGTGGGATTCTCCTAGCATATATGAATGTGTGGGAGCAAGGTGTTTATGGGAAACTTCTGAACCCTAACTTTGCTGTAAATCTAAAACTTCTCGGAAAAAAAAAATCTTAAAAAACTAGTGTATATGTGTGTACTTGTAGGTAAATTAGATAGATGAATTGTTAAATACTTACAAAGGAACTTCTCAATGTAGTAGATAAATAACAGCCAGTTGTGTTAGTAATATATAATTTTGTTTTGGGGAAGTCAATATATTTTAACTTTATTGATAAAGCTTTGTATTTTCTCCAATTTGTACAAAGACCAGCCACAATTAGGGGAAAAAATACCACCTTCTGGTGCAGCATTTTGCCAAAAATAAATGTTATGTAAAGTCAGCTTAAGGATGTCCGAGCTTTGGAATTCTTCCTGGTTATCCAGAAGTATCCAAGTAGAGAAGGAGCCTTAATAAATAATATGATTCTGCTGCTTTGTGGACATCTGGATTGTGTTTCTTATCGATTCATTTCAAGTAGCACGCCCTCCTAACTCAGAGCAGGCTCTCTCGGTGTAAACTCTGTGATAACCTCTCTGGACTGGGGTGCTGCATACTTTCACTTTCAGAAATCTCAGCTCTCTTCCTTAATTAATTGTATCTGGTCAGGTCAAAATTTACTGTTGTTATTTTAACTGTTCTGAGAAGACCATTAGAGGGTTTTAATGAGGCTGTGTGTATATGAGTATTCATAGGCAGTCAGCTTCTGTGTTAGAAACCACTCCCATATCTGCAGTGTCTGCAGCGTGTGTAAGAGCATCCTCCCGGACATTTTGGGCAACACGAAAACTTGAATCCAGGCTGCCTGCAGAAAGCACATAAGGTCTGCTTCCTGTGCTGACTTTTATAGAAAAGTCTTTCTATTTACTTTTTTATATCATGAAATATTTTCAGCTTATTTAATCTGTTTTGCATATTTATTTACTGGCAAACCCTTATAAAATTAAAGTTGTCATTTTCTAAAATGAGAGCTTCATGTGTAGCTTGAAAATGCATGCACAACTATTTCTGTATTATTTGGAAGTGTGCAAGAAAGCAGCATTTTGCAAATGTATATTATGGTAATGAAAATATTCAGTGAACTGAAGGAGCTTGTTTTCTAACAAATGCAGTTAATTGCTAAGGGAGAAAAACTGCTCATAACTTCAGAACAATCCCTTGATCTTCCAGAACTAATTTAGCCAGAGCTTCTGTGTTTGGGAGAATATAAGAGCCAAAGTTTGACTCTCTTATTCTAAAAATACCCCTAGAGCCGTGAAGCATGGTCAGTCAACTTGACTCATTCTCATTCTTGCTGCAACTTAAAAACATGTCAGGGGCTTGACATGTGGACTTTTGAAAGATTTCTTTGTTTTTCTCCACAGGATTTTTCAGCAAAAAGAACCACTGTTTTGTTAATTGCAATCTTGAGGTGGCCCTGGCAGAACAGAGGTAGAGGTTTTCCAACAGAGTAAATAGTAGAATTTTCTTTTATTGGTCTACAGCTAAAATCTATAGTTTTTTTCTAGGATGATTAACTCCCCTTGAGAACTTCATTATTTTTTTTTTCCCTTTTCTCTTAGGCACTGAAAATGGCCAACATCAGTCTTCCTGCATTTCTCTTGGCCTATTCCAATTCATCTTCTTCTACTTGTACAAGAGAAATTTTTCTAAACTAGAAATCTGATTTAGCCTCCTCCTTCCTGCCCCCCCCCCCCGCATGTGCTGTATTACACTGTAAATAATTAGCAACTTGTGTCTTGTTCTCCCCACTGAAATGGGAACTCCCAAGTTAGGACTGTATCATAGTCCTCCTAGTGCCTGTGCGTGGCCAGGGGCCGTGGATGCATGTTGTTGAATTAAGTCATGACTGACTCTTTGTTTAGTTATTGACACTTGCAGACAAAGGGATTTCAGATGGACTCTTGAGATGACTTTTGTGTGACAAAGACTCCTTCCTTGACCAAACATCAATCAGTTTCCTCTGACTCTTCTATTCCATTAGATCTAGTTTTGTCTTTGACCTTTCTCTGGTCTGCCTACTTCAGATCCTGTGAGCTTAGCAAACTTTCCAGACCCTTAAAGTTTGATCACGTTGGTATGTGATCAAATTCATCAACTCCTACCACTGATGTTAAGTACTTGTTCTACCTTCCGTGCAAACTGGAATTCTCTTTAGCAAGAGTGTCTTTGCCTTTCATATCTCTTCTTAGTGATTTTTTAGCCACTGACCCCTCCTCAGTCTACTCATTGGCTATAGGACTGACTACTCATCGGTTACTCAAACTGCTTTTTTTTTGTTCACACTTGAGCCCAATCTTCCTCCTCCATGGTGATAACATGTAGACCTATTATTGCACAAGTCCTTAATTAAGTCTTCCTTGCAGTTTTTATAAATGTCAGAATAAGATTCCTTTACCTAAGCCATGTTGGCCATGTTGATCATGGAGGCTACTTTCTGAACATAAGTGAGGAACTCTGAGAAGAAGACTGATTTTTCCAGCCTAGTTTTGTATTCTATACAACTAAGATTAATTAAGTTCTTCACAACCTACATGATTGTTAACTTTTGCCCAGAGAATAACTTACTCATAAGTCAGAATTTGATTGTCTGCATTTGGGATAATAAATGGCATATTCAAAATCTCATTAGTACATATGTGTGTTCACACTTAATCATATGAAGGACTGGCTTTATATAAACATCTAGATGATTAGTGACCACTGAAATTCTGTAAATGAAAGAAAATGCTAAAGGAAGAAAAATCACCAAATGTCCAAGTCATTCTAAGAATTCATTCTATTCTATTTTCTCTTGTTTTCCTAATAAATATAACATCATTAAGCATCTGTACATTTACTTCAATAATACTGACACAGACTGAATGCCAGGAGATTCTTCTGGGAACATACAAATTATAACATTTTTAGAATCAATCTTAATAGTTTATAATTACACTTAGTTTTTCTTTATATATTAAAATATGTCATGCCTGCCTCAAATCAGATATTAAAACAGTACCATTCCTGGACACACTGTTAAATATTTTTTCAGGACTTACTATCAGGAGAAAAACAAAGGTATTAAAATGATTATGCCTCAAAGCAGTTTGGCTTTGACATAGCTCTGCCCACAGAAAGTCTGCACCTTTCTCTCTAGCCTTAATGCAAAGACTGCTTTCTCAGCTCTTGGGATTCTTCAACATGGGAGAGTACTGCTTCTAGCTGAGAGGTTTTCTCTGCCTGCTTATAAAGGTGCTAATTTTGCCTCAAAAATAAGAAGTCATCATTGTTGCCTTCCCTTAAAATGATAGGCAACTCTGGAAGTGGAGGTAGACATTCTAATTTTTCAGAACTCTTGCAAACAGTATTTAATTAGAGGTCCTTGAATGCAAAACTTTATGAAGTAGGACTACCACAGTTATCATCATCTGTTAAGAAATCCAAAGTCCTCTTTAGACTTTTTTTAAGAGAGGAAAAAGGCAAAGGAAAAAAGAAGAAACTAAATTCTAGAAGTACTAAATAGGGGTTCAAGGTTACAGAGGTAATAGTATCACAGCTGGCATGAAGAACATGCTGTCTGAACTCCCAGTGCAGTATTTGTTACACCACAGAATACAAATATAATCACTGAGCATTGAACTCTA